GCCGAAATAAAGGCAGGAGGACGGACAGCAGACAAAAGAGAAAATGCAAAATTCGAGTTGTTATCGCATACCTCTTGTGCTTTCCGCTCCCTGGTTTATGATTAGGTTGAGACATATTTACCCTGAAAACGTGAATCTACGTGATTTAAGGGATTCGCTCGAAGAACACAAGGAAAAAAGCTGCCGGATGTTCTCAAAAATATTTCGCGACACGTACACGCTTCCAAAAAAAAGAAAAGACCACGAGCAATGAATAGGAAGAATAAAAGGAACAGTGCAAAGGAAATTTCTTTGGAAGATCGGTGTGCTCGTCAGCAAGTTTATTTTGAGTGGAATTGCGTAGAACATTTCATAAACCACGGTCAGAGTATTAACTGCAAAAACACATGGTGCACAAAGCTTGACGGCACCCATCTTCTCGTGCCGTTTTTGTTTTTCCGTTTGTTTCATTTTGTTTTTTTTCCTGTTGCTTTCTTTTGTCTCACTAACCCTCAGGATTTCTTCATATTGGTGTAAATTGTTCAGATGGTAAGAAGGTGGCGTGGAACGTTGAAGCAGCCGTTCGCCGTCAAACTCTTCTCAGGTTTGCGGAGCTTCTTTCAAATCTAAATGAGTTTGCCGGAGTTTCCGATTTCGCCGTCGCTAATGTTTATATTTTATGTAGATTCGAAGTGGGATGTTCGTAATATTCTCACGCAATCCGTTCAGGTATTTGGAATGCGCATCCTCGATTTGCAACCAGGACAGTTCTTGTGAAAAATAACGATGTCGATGCTGCATTTGGTCTGTTGAACAGGTTGGGACGTCAAATTTTCATATCGCCTGTGCAATTTTTCGAAGTTTTTCAACCACTTCTTCAACATTGTCATTGCCTTCTTTCTTATTACTCGTTACAGTTTGTGCCATAGCGCGTCATTCTTGCGATGCGCAATTGTTAAGAAAAAGTACGATGTATCCCAGGTGGTTCGCTGCGGCAACAGGGCCTGCTCCTGTCGAGGTCCGTTTTTTCTCTGTGCCGTGCAGAATCCGCTTCTCCATCAGTTGTTGAAGCGAGCAAGTGACAAAACTGTATCGTATCGTTCATCGCTCGTTTATACTCGTTGTTGTTGCATAATGGCTTCAACAGCTGACAGGGAACGGGTTTGGCGACGTGGCATACTCATACTGACTGACACGCCCCTTCATCCGCGCCGAACTACAGCATACGTATCAGTCTGTTTCCGCAGTTTCATAATTCCTCAGATTGACACACACTGAAGTTCGAAGGGGCGCGTCAGGCAGTATGAGTGTGCCACGGCGCCAAACCTCTTCTCTACCAACTGTTTAAGCGAACATGCGACAACAGTTGGTATGAAAGGAGTGATACGGACGATATGGTACAGTCTCGTCACTTGGTCGCTTCAACAACTGGTGGAGAACGGAATCGGCACCGCGCCAAACTCGTCCGCCTAACATGCCCTTCGTCCGCAGCGAACTAGACTACTAATCCTTTCGGTTGATTCCGCAATTCGCTGTTGCAAGTTGTTAACAGGGCCTGAGACGATAAAAGGTTGATGAGGGTAGAGGCTACTATAAAAGAAAGTTGTCTGAGTAGAAAGATAACCCTATGCTAGGCTGATTGGTATTTTGTAGTTATTTTGTGATAACAACAGTTGTGATTATCCTTACTTTACTGTTGGCTTCCTTTTTGCTCTTCTATTGAACGCATTTTCGTAGTTGGATTGTAGCGTTCGACAGCGGAGAGGGAGGGGGGTCGTATTCGCCGTGAAAACTATGCACCTTTGCCTAAAACAACTTTTGCGTTTCTTTTTTGCTTTTTTTGTCTTTCTTTTTTTTATAAGAATGATCCACTGTGTAGGAAGTGTACGAAAACCAAGAACTGTTTACACAAGGATTTACCAGAAAAAGGAATAGAAGCTGTCGTTGGGTTTGAAAGCTTTTCGCATGCACATCCAGACCATGAATATAAGCGCGTTATACTGCGAAAGAGTAAACGGAAATCGCCTCTGTCCTAAGATTAATTGTACGGAGCGGCGCACGTTCTCCATCGTTTTTAGCGGCGGGTCCCACATGATCGGTTTGCCGATTTGCAAATACGTAGTTTTCTACTGCCTCTCTCGCCTCTGTTGTCTTTCGCACCTTTGTAGTCTGGTCTCTGTTCTAGGCTTCTCAGTGTTTCTTCGCCGTACGCTCGTACAACGCTGAAAGCCAACTGCAGTCGTTAATTGTAAGGCCTTCCTCCAAGTTCATCTGGCTTGATTTCCAGATTCAGATCACACCGGGTGACAAACGCCGCCCCGCTGGTGGGGTGGCGAGCGCCCCGCGCAAGGCGGACGAGTCCTCCTGCCTAACTTCGAGTGCTAATGGAATGGTTGATTCGTTATAGCCTGTCACGGACGTGATTGGCAAACATGCGCGAGTGTATGGTTTTCGCATACCTCCACGAAGCCGCCAGACTAGGCCGCGCCTTTGGTCAGGAGCACATAAATTGCGTTGTCGCAGTCCCATTACCAATGCTGAATTTGAGCCTGCTCCCTTCATCCATGCCATACCATTTGCTGACAGTTTATGCTCTGTGGTAACATTGTTGATGCGAAAAAAACTAAATCAATCAGCTTATATTATCCTACTATACTATAATCCGCTTAGTTTGTTGGTGTGTGTGTATGTTTGCTGCTGTCTGTGTGTGTTTTGCCGGTGAAATTCATAACTTTCTCAAAATAGCATAGAGTCCTCAAAACTGATAAGTGATGTAGGGGGTCCTGCCACGGCCATTATTGCTCAGTCGGTGGCAGGGAGTGATAACAGTTGATAAGATACCATAAGGAGCCTTAGAAGGTAAGGGTCACCAAATTCACAGCGCGCGTCACAGCAGCGGTAGGGCGTTGGTTCCAAGAAGTAAGATAGAGGGCAGGATGGGGACATTTTTGGTGGGTGGCAGGAAGTGATAACAGCCGATAAGATACCATAAAGAGCCTTGGAAAGGGATGGTCACTAACACCATAGTGCGCGTCACAGCGACGGTAGAACGTTGTTTTCAAGAAGTAATATATGGGGCAGGATAGGAACATTATTGGTGAGTAGCAGGACCTGATAACAGCCGATAAAGTACCATAGGAGGCCCGCTTCAGGAAGGCCTCAAAATTCAATGCAAAAGTCGGAGCAACAACGGGGAGCTGCATCTTTACTATGCCTGCGACTGAACTTGACCACCGCTTGCCCCTAAGAATAATGGGCTAAACCTTAGTGAGCCGAGATGTTCCTATCCCTTAGGATGTAGTCGGGATTGATCCGACCGCTAAACTCTCGAGTACCACCCAGAAGTAAAAGCCCTAAAATTGTTTGCCAGTGAGGAATGATAAGAGTCGCCAATAGACCGATATGTGAAAGCTGCTCACGGAAGAATTAGGATGTAAGAACACTTCACTATGATTTCGATATTGTTACCATTGAAACTCTTTCAACCGCTAAGTTGTCTCATTTCCAACGAATGGTGAGTGTTGTGATAAGCACCATACGTTGGAAAATGTTCATTAAAGAGGAGAATTATGATGAAATGGGCCGTGTTTTGAAGCATGGAAAAACGAAGTTTTAGGGCGCCACCACTACAAAATTCTGCTACCATAGGTTTAAACATTCGCTCAGAATGGCGCGTCAGCCAACTGGATTATGATATAATCAACTTTTCACAACAGAAATTTTCCTCCTTCCCTTACTGAAGAGCACAGAGGAGGGAGAGTGACCTCGTTCAGTTTCCGTCTAAGGGCACGTGCGAAACGGAAACTTAACTATTCTTTGGATTGACCCTCCCCCCTTAATAAATTTAGCAAAAATGATGAAGTAAATCAGCATTCAAAAGTGACTTTGGAATAATTTTCAGCTTTGGAACAAATGCAAAAATTTCTTAAGACTTATTTTTGTCATTTTATTTTATCTTATTGTGTTAGTCCAGTCTCTTTTATGTTGTTTGAGTTAAGGATGATGGATGCTGAAGGACTGCTCAAAATCATTCGCCGCACGCAGTACTACCAGAAGCCGTGGATGCAACGAAAGCAGCTCTCCGTCGAAGCATCCAATGCGATCTTCAATGAGGATATGACCAGAAAAATGCAATTTCTTATGCGGAAGAATCGACCCGACGCCCATCCTGGGCAAATGACTACGTAGCACGTGTTCTATTCCAGTTGTAAAAGATGTAGGCTGATTTTACTTATGCTTTTGATAAAACTGCATAAGAGAAATTCCTGCAAATTTGTATACCTGACTACTCTATGCATCGAAATGCAGTTTCTCTTTTCATAACCTCGGGAAAAGCTACGGTTCAGAAACTCCCGAGGAATGCTTCACATGATTTAGACCGGCCCTCCACAGATGACAGCTAAGCCCCTGCCGCGGCGCAAACACGAAACGAGGGTAGTCACATTTTTTTTAACTGATGTATTCTTTTCGTTTTGCCGGTTTCAACCTTAGGTGGGGACTCACAGAATACTGTAGAGTTTAAATCATGCTGCGGTGTCTGCGCGTGCCTGTTCAGTGACTATTACGGTGAAATATTCATCTGACAAAGCAGTAAGCCTGCGTGATCTGAATCCGCAAATATGGACTTGCATTTCGGCGCGGGCCTGAGCGACCTGCAGATAGAAAAGCTATCGGCGCATCGGTGATGTTGGAGGCGAAGACCGCTTGGCGTCGTGAGCTCCTCTCGCCGCCGCAGTCGCTACAACGACACACCCACTGACGGCAGTTTCTTTATGCAGAACTCCAGCGAGATTTCTCACCAGTTTGGCGGCGCCGCCTCTTCCACCAAAATCCGTACAAAGCCTTGGTTTTCTCCCAGTGATCGCGATGGTTGGAATCATGGCATTCCATAGCTGTCGGAGGGCCTGAGAGAAGAAGACTTACAGTTGTTCTCTTCGAAGTCAATCGGGCGAGGGGGAGGGGTGGATGACTTTAGCGACGCGCGCCAGTCCGTTTTTCATCTATCGTTAGGCTTCGCGTTTGCGACGCCTAAGTGCAGAAATGTGCGCAATGACGGCCGGCCAAAAACTCCAACCTGCCTCGTCGACCGCCCCGACTAACCATTGATAACAACCTATGGTTCGCATAAGTGACATTGCGCTCAAAATTGGGTTAAGAAGTTTCCCATTTTACTTGTAGCCTTCAAGATAACAGCACCTTATCAAATCTCACGAAGGCAAGTATGGAAAAGAGTCGATGTCACATATGCTCCAGTAATTCAAAGGCTGTCGTTCCATAAAATGGTCTTTATCATGACAAGAACAATTGAATAAAGTAGTAGACAGAGTTCGTCAAGCGACGACAGCGGTTTGATTCGTGAAGTCAACTTCTGGCATTCGCATTGGGACCTCGAAAAGCGTGTCATCTGTTTCATCACGGTCCTGCATTGCATGAATTCGTCTGAAAAAATAGCTGGTAAAGTAGTGGCTACCGTGTGACTTGACCAATTTTACTCTGGAACTGATATACAATTTTGTCCATTGCGGCTGAAGGGACGTGCCGTGAGGCTGGGTTTGGCGCGACGCCAGTCCGTTATTCCCGGTTGCTGAGGTGGGTAGGCGATAACAGATGGTAGAACCCGACTGATGCGAACGACACGACAAGCCTTGTCGCTTGCCGAAACAAAAAAAAACGGGCTGGCGCCGCGCCAAACCCAGCCCCTTGACGGCCCCATCATCGCCAGCGAAGGAGACCTGGGACAGGTTCCAGCGGATCTCTACTCACCTTTGGTTACGCTGAATATTCTTTCTGACAATGAAATCCTGATCCTCCTGGTCCCAGAAGGTATTGATCGCTTGCGCTGTAAATACAAGTGAAAGAATATCCGAACTACGGTGCTCCCGAATAGTTCACTCACGTGGATGTCTGCTTCTGCGCCTGTCTCTATGACGTCGCTCCTTCCGCGCCTCCCTGGAATCACCGTTATCCTTGGCACGAGGTGCCTCGTGAGGAGTTTCTCGTGAACCTGCACGGGCAGCTTCTTTGGCAGCCTCTCGCGGATCCGGATTTGGTGCCAAGCCATTGATACTGTCAACGTTACGGTGAGCTTCGCCGTCACCACTAGCCTTTTCCTTATGGTTGCATGTTGCATGATCTGTAGTGGTACGGGTTAAGGACACTAAGCACTTCATATTTCACTTCTTTCATCCCCCTTTTCCCATGGTCGATGACTACTGTTGGGATTCTCTGCATCTACCCCCTACTCTGAGCTCTCATCCTACACAGGTGACGTCTGATATGGTATGTGATATTCACAGCACCCCGTAGGTCCCCAGTATGGATACGACTGGCTGGACCATGTGTCGATAGGCGATGAGAAGTAGGTCTCGCACAAGGTGGCTTCAACAAGCTCCACTGAGTACCATTTAGTGCCCCCCCCCCTCCACCAAGCCGAACTACGTTTGAGGGTTGTTTTGGAATGCTACTTAAGAAAGCATTCTCGCAAAAGTATTTTCGCACTACGTAAGAGGTGGTTGGCCCAGCAAGATACTCCTTCGCCAGCACAAGAATCTTTTTTGGCATTACCACGGGGGTGCCTATGGAGTTATGCTAAAAGAACACCCTATTTCCTTTCCGTTGTCAGCCCTTCACTTACGTTTATTCGTTGGAGCGATCATATCCTTCTTTGCTGCATTTCTAGAATCCTTTTCTTCCTTT